GCTGCCCTGGGAGTGCTGCAGATTTCCATGCAGTTCTGCAGCTTCCAGGTCAGTCTCCCGGAGGCAAGTCTAACCATCCCCACTTCTTTTTCTCCAGAGTGAGGCAAACTTCCCTTTCCCCACCATGCATGCCTGTCTTCTAGAAATACATGGGATTCAGGGTTCTGCCTTTGTTACTTGCTTAGGTCTCTTTTGTTCCAGCCATCCCGGCTGTCACACAGCACTACACCCACCCTGGATCCCGGCCTCACCCGGGCAGGCAGCACTGAGTGACCCTGGGGGCTGTTGTAGATCTGGATGAGCCTGGTGTGGCTGCTGCTCCCTCCTCCAGCTGCACTCAGGGTCACCCCAGGGGAGCCGTGTCATGGCCTGGCCCTGTTGTGCTGGTTCCTCTGCTGTTACAGCAGCTGCTTTGGGCTGCTATCAGCTCCTTCCCTTGCCAGTTGTTTCCCATGGTGGCCTGGTTGTGGCCAGCAGCACTGTGGGCACAGCACTTCCCATCCCTACTCCCAGCCACGGTGCTGCTGGACACTCAGGGAAACACCTGCTGAGGGCAGCCTGTGTTTGGCAGCTTGAGCTGGTGCCCATGAGCACTTTGAGACAGTGTTTTGCCTGTCCCCTGGTCAAGTCCCCTTCCTGAGGCCTCTGGTCCAGCCTGCACACACCCTCACTTGGAGCTGGGTGGTCACATCCAGCCCTGCTGCCTTTGCCCAGTGCTCAGGCACTGGAGAGGCACCCACGGAGCATCCATGGGGAGCACGGTGTGTCAGGGAGAGCCCTTCCAGCTGCCCAGGGAGGAGTCAGGCTGAGCAGGTGCCTCTGCCAGAGGTAAGGATGGAGCCAAAGCTCTCCTTTGCTTTTGCTCTGGCTCACTGTGGCTGCAGTTATAAACTGAGAACAGCAGGAGAATCCAAACGTGTTGTTGCTCCCAGAAACACCAAGGGCTGCACCCAACAGCCCAAATCCACCCCTCTCCCTCCACCCCCAGCTTCCTGTGCTTTCCTGCTGCCCCCGTGGTGCTCCTGAGCCAGGGGCTGCCTGCACAAAGCCCTTCTCGTGTCCCCATCCACCACTGGGGTTTTGGAAGACATGTCCTTCTCCCGGTGCTCCAGAGGATGCAGGGCTTGGCTGTGATGAAGACTTGGGCTGCAGAGCTCTCGAGCCACTGCTCTGTGGGTGCATCATCTGCAGCAGCTCCAGCCCTGCTCCCCAAGCCCTCCTGGCTGGAGGGAAGTCGGGCAGGTGCCGATTTGGGGAGCAGAGAGGTGCTGGGAGCTGTGGGTGGGGCAGGGCAGGCTGGAGCTGTGACCACAGCCAGGGTTGGAGTGAATGGATCCCTTTGAACAGAGCACCGTGTCTCGGAGGGCTGGGGGCAAGAGGGGCGGCCACTGCTCCAGGGCAGAGGCTGATTCCAGGCACAAGCACAGATTGTGATGCAGACACTGACACCCTCTGTCCCCAGAGCCAGGCTGTGGCTGCCCCATGACCCACAGCACCAGGGATGGAGGGAGGGAGGGAGAAACCCGCTGGGGATGGAGGAGCTGTTGAGTTCCCCTTTTCCCCTCCTTTACTCTGCAGCTCTCATCTCACAGGGCAGGCACCACGTCCTCCCCTTTGCCCAAAAAGTCTCTGATCCTACACAAGAGCTTTTGCACAGGCTGGGCTCCCTCTGGGGAGGTGGATGTTGGCCTTTGGAAGGGGACACCGCTCCCCCCAGCACCGCTCGCTCTCTGCAGCTGTCCCAAACCCAAGCGTGCACAGAGGTTTACAAATTTTCTAAAGCTTTTGATAATGTGAAGCTCCTGGGTGATGAGGTTGGTGGTGAGCACACTGCAGCTATGTAATTTTTTGTGTATGTATGTAATATTTAAGGGTAACAAAATTTAAAAGGCTAAAACCTTAAAAAAAAATTTAAAAACACACAAAAAAAGCCAAAGCATGATGCATATTGTTAGCCTTAAAACTGGCTACACGACTGTGTGATGTACAAATGAGAGCAGCCTGTAACTGTTTTAAGTGCTGGGGAGGGGGAAGAAGCATTACAAAATCAGTTTGTAGCCTTGATTCTGTACAGTATTTAATGAATTAAAAAAACAAACCTGACTATTGAGGCCATGCTTAGAGGTGTGTCGTTCACGTGCAGATGTGGATGCTTGGTTGCTTATGATATATGTATAAAGTGCTGTGTGACCATTAAAACTTTTTTTACCTGCAGATTTTTTTTGTTTGGCTAACCAAGGTGTAATAAAGGAGGGAAGATGACTTGCCATTAAATTTTGCCTCTGTGAGTAGACCTGTGAGTTGTCTCTTTCTTTCCCCACCACCCCCTGCCACTCTCCTGGCACTTGCCCCTCTCTGGCTCATCCTGTGCCAGCCTCGGGGCTGGACAGGGTCCCGCTGGCTGAAGCCAAGGCCGGTGAGTCCAGAGGGATCCAGGCAGGTCTGCCAGCCAGGGGCTGCTCTGTGGCTCTCCATAAAATGCTCCCCAAGCCCCTGATGTACAGAGGACATCTGTCAGGCTGGGATTTTTGTTTTCTGTGCACCTTGCTGGTGCTTGCTGGTGGCTCAGTGCCTGCCCCAGCACAGCTCTGGTGGCCCCGGTGCTCATGGCCAGACTCAGACAAAAAGAAAACCTTTTGTGGGCCCCTGGGAGCTGTGCCCTGCCCTGGCCCTCACCTCAGCACACAGGTGAGGCTGTGATGGATGGGGCCGGACGCAGCACTGCC